TTGGATTTACAAATGTTATGTCTATAACACACTTGTTTAGGTTCAATTTTCAAATTCATAACATTCTACTTTAAAAGGTCACATTCATTTCGGCATGTACAAGTCATCTACGATGTTATAGCTACATGGGTCCTTAGGTTTTATAGATTCTGGTAGACCTAGGTAAATGTTAGATATTTATTATTATACCATTAGGTTTGTTAAAAGGCCACGAGATTTGCAAAACCAGAAAACTGTAAAAACAGTTGAAGAAATATGGAGAGGATCAGATCAGTCATACCAAGTTGTTCTGAAATTTAACTGATCCTCATCTTATTCAGGATGTGAATATCTATAGCCAGTAAAAATAATGGAAGGAAATAAAATATGGGAAGAAAATTTCACATGAATATATCTGTCAAAACAGAAAATGGATATTTAAGGAAGCAACCTAAAACAGGAAAAGCAATCAATAATTTGGGAGAATTCTGTAACTTCCCTGAGAATATGAGAGATTCAAAATAATTCTAAACTCTTTTAACAATATGAAATAAAGAACATCTCAATAATTGTGTATACGTATGCAAACATTTGAACCTTTCAAAATAAGTTTACAATAAGATTACAAAAATTCAAACAAATTGATTCCAATACTAAGCTAAGTATGTCTGGTCTGTTTTAGACCTAATGCTGCCCTGTTATCTTATCAAAGATGAATTTTTTTTTAGGATATTCTAGTTTTTATTTTATTCTAAAAACTTTAAGAAAATGTAAATATCAGCTTTAAATCTTGTTAAAGGCAGACTAAAATTCAATTCAAATAACATCATTACGTAGGTTTTCAAGATTTAACCAATAAACTGCTTCGCTGAGCGCAGCTAGATACGCCCGCAGAGGTCCAACCCTGAACAGTTGGGGCAAAAATGGACACAATATTCAAGCTTGGTTCAGGTCTGAATTTGGATTGTAATTAAATATTTGACATATTATAGGTTTCTGAATAAATGTAGTCAAAGAACTTGAAATTGTTGATTATATGAATTGAATTTATATTCAATTAAAGATTTCTTGCTGTTGTGCAATACTTAGTATATCTGTTGTAAGCCTATAAACAAATAAAGTTCAATTAATTCTCAATGTCATATTAGAAATTTATGAAAATAAAAAGGGAGCTTACATCAATAGATATAAACAATTCACCAAAGTTTCATGAGAATTGGTGACAGCATTTTTGAGTTATTGTCCGAAAACTGGAAAATCCCCCCTTTTTTTAATGAATAAAACCCCATAACTTAGAAATGTAAAATTTAAAATTTATAAAATTTTAAAGAGAGCTTACATCAATACATACAAACAATTCACCAAAGTTTCATAAGAATTGATGAAAGCATTTTTGAGTTTTTGTCCGAAAACTGGAAAATCCCCCCTTTTTTTATGAATAAAACCCTGTAACTCGGAAACGTAAAATCTAAAATTTATAAAAATCGAAAGGGAGCTCATGTCAATAGATATAAACAATTCACCACAATTTCTTGCAAGTTGGTGAAAGCATTCTTGACTTATTGTCCGAAAACTGGAAAATCCCCCTTTTTTTTATGAATAAAACCCCATAACTCGGAAACGTAAAATCTAAATTTTATAAAAAAACGAAAGGGAGCTCACGTCAATAGATATAAACAATTCACCAAAGTTTTATACAAATTGGTGAAAGCATTTTTGAGTTAATGTCCAACATGTTGACGACGGACAGACGGACAACAGACGGACGGATGGACAGACGGACAAAGGTATACCATAATACGTCCCGTAAACAGGCGTATAAAAATGCAAAATGGCTTTAAATTGCCGAAACAATAACAATAATAGTGTAATGCTCGGTATTGTATTTTAGAACAAAATCTCAACATTTAATTCTGTATATTGAATACGTTTTATTTTAAGGCAAATTGATTCTAAGTTAAGACAAGGGCATTTCTGTACCTGTACCATTCCAAATTTTACAGAAACTGCATTAATTTTAACCTATAACAATTTAATGGTATATAAAATTGCCTTATGTAAATTAAGCTGCAGTGCAAACGAATCAAATACTTTTATTTGCCCCAAAATTTACATACGTGTCAACAAAGTTTAGAAATGAAGCATCTGAAATTATATATTTGTAAATTTTTTCCATATTTTTATTGCTTGATTTGAGGGTAATAATTGAGAAAATATAACTTGTGTAGGTGTTTCAATTTGCAATAAAAGGTTTATTAAAATCAACCTTATGAAGGTGTATGAACTGCAATACAAGACATGCACTGAATTTAAACATGCATGTCACCAAGAAAATACAAAAAAAAAACCAAAGTAATAGATCAGCTTAATACCACATTATATATTTCCAACATTTTGAATATTTTGCATGATTATATATAAATTTCCGGCTTGTAGCCAGGATGGATGTCTCTCAGTTTAATAGTCTATAATAGTATTCTATTGTTTTCAGGGGGACCCTATACCCCCTGGCTACTGTTGTGAATTAACATGTGCATATAGTATACACAATGTGTCTACAAGCAATATGACTGAAGACACTATACTTTTTCTTTACTTGATTTTTAAATATTTTGAATCCTAAACATTTATTTTTAGATACATGTATTAATATTAGGGCATTACTGTATTGCAGGGTTGACATTAATGGAGACTGAAATATTTCAGTCCTACAAAATGTACATGGCCTTGTATGTAGTAATGACAATTCATATAGGGTAGTCTTTCAGGAGGCACTAGTGAGGTGAAGTAATTGGGTCAAACCATGCATAAATCAAATTGCCTAAAGAGAAAATCCTAAACAAATCATCACATCTGCATAATGAAGCCATTATTATCCATACATCTATACTTTAATCTTTAGTATACAATGTAATATCTATTTCCTTAGGTTAAAGTTTGAGCAATCAGATTTCATCTCCACAAAAATATACAACCCTTTATGTACAGAATCGTGTTTACATTTTGATAAATTGAAAATTTGCGATTTATCTTTACAATACATCTATTGACAATAATAAAACTCTTCAAAAAGGTGACAGCGCTTTATTCATATCATCAGGAGTTTATTGGTATTATCAAATTCTTCCCCGATAAAAATATGCATGTGTGATTACCTATAGTTGCTTACTTAATCTGAAAAATTGTCTCATTGGCAATCATACCACATCTTCTTATTTCTATTTAAGTAAAATTTGATTGAGCCATTTGTCAACAGAAGAAGAATTTAGTGAGATACATGTAGAATCCCTTTATAAAACTAAATACATGTAATAAAGGCCTTGCACTCCATGGAGCATGAATAGGAAAGGTGAAGTGAGATGACATGTAGGATGTCTATCAGAAACATTATAATTATAAGGGCCTTGCACACTGTGGGGCATTAATAGAATAGGCAAGGTGAGATGACATGTAGGATGTCTATCAGAAACATTATAATCATAAGGGCCTTGCACACTGTGGGGCATTAATAGAATAGGCAAGGTGAGATGACATGTAGGATGTCTATCAGAAACATTATAATTATAAGGGCCTTGCACACTGTGGGGCATTAATAGAATAGGCAAGGTGAGATGACATGTAAGACGTCTATCAGAAGCATTATAATTATTAGGCCTTGCACACTATGGGGCATTAATAGAATAGGCAAGGTGAGATGACATGTAGAATCCCTATAAGAAACCTAAAAACAGATCTTCATAGAAACAAATTGTGAACTATAGGAAGGGTGGCCATGGTGGTGGTGGTGGCGTGAAGGGGGTGTATAAACTAATGATTAGAATCTATCCATCTCTGCAGAAAATGACTGAGTTAATTAAATTTCATGTACAAGTACATCATAGTAAAATGGTTAGAAAATGTCTTGAGTGTCATGAAGCCAAAATATACTAGTACTGTTTGTATAATATTTGCATCAGCCTTCCAGTGACCATAATTTGTGACTAATATCACAGTTTAAATAGAATAGTATAAGTTATGATATCTTGTAATTTTGCCGTGCATGGACTGAAACCTCTAGTACATATACGTATAACTACAAATCCTTCATATTCAAATATATTATATATTAGTGCATACTCCTTTTTCTGAAAGCTGAATTTTCTTCTTTTTTAGATATTTTTGTTAATCTGGGAGGGAGGTTGATACGTAGAATTTATGATGGCCTCTTAGCATACTTCATAAAAAAACTTGGTTTAGGTCCAATTTTCTGTTTGGTAAACAAATATAAAAGGCATATAATATAAACAAAATTTACACAGCTTTTGAAAAAGTTTAAAAACTTATTTATTTTCATTTTAATCATAAAGAAAGGCAATCAACTGTTACAATAATGGATTTGTTAAAAGCCAAAGGCCAAAAACCTTAAAATTTTAATCAAAACAATTTTTAGCTTTGGTTATTATATCTATAATTTTTGTAAGATGTGTTCATTTACAAAATTTAAATGTATATCTATAAAATGCAGGTATATCCAGGTAAAAATCTGTGTGCAGGTGGTAAAAACTCTTTAAGAATTTTATGGGTGATCAAAAACCTAAAAATATCAAAGTTTTTACTGTCAAAAAAATGTTCACATGAGTTTTTTAGGTACACATGCATTATGTAAATTAAAATTTCAGTAACACCACACATATTCTACATATATATACATGTACTTTTAACAAGACAATGCATTGTACAAAAATATAAACAAATAGATTTGTGTGTACTTGGTAATAAATCCTTCATCTATGAAATAATACAATGTATGACCAATTGATTTTAAATCATTTGTATATATGCAATAATATAATATAATATCTGTATTAAAAACCATTTATGAATCATAATGTTTACAATAAAATTGTAGATAATACTTCTATAAAATTTATCATAAATATTTCCTGTTTAAAAAATTTTGAACAAAGAATGACGTGTGTGTGTGTGTAGTTGATTAGGATTTATAAACATAACCCATAACGGAACAAAAACAAGATAATTACCCGAGATATAGCTGGTTTTGGCTGAATTTCCGTATTCTCCAGCATACAATCATCACATTCACAAGGAGGGGGGTCTGAAGAAGTGTACAGTTCCTCATCACCATTAAAAGTTTGTGTAGGGTTGTTATTGTTAAATGTAACTTCCACTCTATCACTTAAACTTTTTTCCGAACTGTTGTGATTAATATCTGATAATTTATCCATGTTATCCTCTGTCATTTGTGGATTAACAAAAGCTGAATTATTACTGTGAGATAGTACAGCTTTACCTTCCATAGTTGACCCACATATGTTGGTGGTGTGGGAGTGAGTTTTACCTGAACTGCTAATCGTTTGTTGATTGACTTGATCCCTCAGGTTATTTGTACTTCTCAATTCAGATACCTGGTTAAAATTAGCAATGATACGCCTTCCTACTCCTGGTTGCCTCCAAGGAGAATTGTGATAACAGTTTGATGGGTGAACAGTATTAAACATATGTCTTCCTTCATTCACATTATTTTTGTCACTTTTAACTATTCTCACTGGACATTTCACACAACTGTCCAATGAATGGTCAGCTGATTGTAATATTTTGTTTATACTACTGGAACTATGAACATCAGACTCTATCTCATCTAGATCTGGTTCAATGACTTTACCATGTGCCTTGACATCCAACTTGTCACCTATGGGATGTATGTCCTCAGTCATTTCAATGATAGGCATGAAATCTCCTAGATCTGGTTCCACATCACTGACCAATGAAATGGCTTTCGATGTTGACCCTGGTGACATTAACCAGATTGACCGCTTCAAACCATCAATATCTTCAAATATCTTATGTACTAAATGCTCCTGCAGAGTTTCCTGTCCTTTATCTAGATGACTATTCTTTATATTTTGACCAGGTAGCGTTTGTGCGTGACAGCACTTGCAAAGATCATATCTTTCATTCATCGTTTAAAAATAATTACACATTGTTACAAAGTTTTAACAAAGGCTCTTGAGTCTACCTTGTGCGATTAAATTAGTTTGTAGCTTCTTAAATAGTTTTAAACCCCTATGGATCAAATAACACTAAAATAAATTTGTACAAAAGCAAAAGAAATTTTCTATTTAAGGCTTCAATTAATGTATTGTTTTCTTTCAACAGATTATGTGTTAAAATATTCAGTACACATCCTTTCTATAATAAAAACTCGTACATGTGCATAGCATGACAAAATCATATTGTAATTTATATAGTTTGAGGAACTCCCACACTTCCTTGGTGTGAACATCTTAACATCAAATTACATAAGTGAAGTATGAACAAAAAAATTAGGCTAAAGTTGTGTAGCATGTGAAACAAAAGTGTTTCCACAAAGCATTTAAAGAAGGGGTAAAGATCATGTCTTATTTTCCTTTAGCAGCATGCTTTCCCATTATCTCCAATAAAGCCATGCCTTTTTCTTGGTCAATTTGTTTTAAAAATGTTCACTTGCTCAAGATGCTGCATTTATTATCTTGATTTAAAATGATGAAAGTAAATTTTTGGTCTTAATAAATTACCGGTACATATAAATTAATGGAGGGAGGATTAAACAATGATTTTGTTTATCCTCAAATATTCTTACTTAAAATGCTATTCCATGTACCTTTTAATGGTACCGGTAATTGTAATAATAAGATCAAAAGTAGGTCAACAATAACAAATATTCAGTTATAAACCAAATACAACAACAGGCATCGGCTCTTTGGAACACAGGCTGAAAAAAGACATAAACGTTAACTTAATAATAATAAAATGCTCCGCAGGGCGCAGCTTGATACGACCGCAGAGGTTGAACCCTGAACAGTTGGGGCTAGTATGGACACAACATTCAAGCTTGATACAGCTTTGCATTTGGATTGTGATTAAATATTTGACACAGCATAGGTTTCTGACACAGAATGAATGTGGTCTAAGAACTTAAAAATTTTAAATTGGACATTCACCTATTATGTTCCAATATCCAAAATCTAAATACATGGTTAGATTCAGCATATCAAAGAACCCCAAGAATTCAATTTTTGATGAAATCAAACAAAGTTTAATTTTGGACCCTTTTGACCTCAATGTGGACAAAGTTGATAATGGGGCCCAAAAATCAAAAATCTAAATACATGGTTAGATTCAGCATATCAAAGAACCCCATATATTCAATTTTTGTTGAAATCAAACATAGTTTAATTTTGGACCCCGATTTGGACCAACTTGAAAACTGGGCCCATAATCAAAAATCTATATACATGTTTAGATTCAGCATATTAAAGAACCCTAAGAATTCAATTTTTGTTAAAATCAAACTAAGTTTAATTTTGGACCCTTTGGACCTTAATGTAGACCAATTTGAAAACGGAACCAAAAATTAAGAATCTAAATACACGGTTAGATTCGGCATATCAAAGAACCCCAACAATTCAATTTTTGATGAAATCAAACAAAGTTTAATTTTGGACCCTTTGGACCTCAATGTGGACCAATTTAAAAACGGGGCCCAAAATCCAAAAACTTAATACACGGTATGATTCAGCATATTAAAAAACCCCAAGAATTCAAGAATAAAACCCCATTGAAATTGGTCAAGAAATAAGCAATTTATACGAAGTATCTTCTTTTGCACAATACTGTGCAATTAAATATTTCTTGCTATTGCGCAATACTGTACTATTGACAATTTCTTGCTATTGCGCAATATTGTGCTATTGGATATTTCTTGCTATTGCGCAATACTGTGCAATTGAAGATTTCTTGCTATTGCGCAATACTGTGCAATTGAAGATTTCTTGCTATTGTGCAATACTGTGCAACTGAAAATTTCTTACTATTGCACAATACTTATTATATAATAATTTACACATCCTGTTTGGTGTGTATCTCCTACCATATCATTATTATTTGCTTTTAAATATAAATCAGAAATAACCAACTTAAAATGGTAAAATTTTAAAAGAAAAAAAAAAGGAAACCCCCCCCCCCCCCCCAAATTTTTTGAACCCCCTTATGATTCATCACCCCCAAACTCAATCCCAGCCTTCCCTTTGTGGTATGGTACCTTTCAGAGAGATCCATACACTTGAACACAAGTTATTGTCTGGAAACTAGAAAAATGTGTTTTTTGGCCCCTTTTTGGCCCCAAATTCCTAAACGTTTCGGACAATTACCCCCAAACTCAAACCCAGCTTTCCCTTTGTGATATGGAACCTTGAAGTACAATTTCAGAAAGATCCATACACTTACGTATACACACAAGTTATTGTCCTGAAACTAGAAAAATGCTTGTTTTTTGCCCCTTTTTGGCCCCTAATTCCTAAAATATTGAGGCAATTACCCCCATCATCAATCCCAGCCTTCCCTTTGTGGTATGGTACCTTGCAGTACAATTTCAGAGAGATCCATACACTTGAACACAAGTTATTGTCTAGAAACTAGAAACATGTGTTTTTTGGCCCCTTTTTGGCCCCCAATTCCTAAACGTTTAGGACAATTACCCCCAAACTCATACCCAGCTTTCCCTTTGTGATATGGAACCTTGTATAACAATTTCAGAAAGATCCATACACTTACACACAAGTTATTGTCATGAAACTAGAAAAATGCTTGTTTTTTGCCCCTTTTTAGGCCCCTAATTCCTAAAATTTTGAGGCAATTACCCCCAAAATCAATACTAGCATTCCTTTTGTGATATGGAACCTTGTGGTACAATGTCAGAGAGATCCATACACTTACACACAAGTTATGTCTGGAAGTTACAAAAATGCTAATTTTTGGCCCCTTTTTGGCCCCTAATTCCTTTACTGTTGGTACCATAACCCCCAAAATCAATCCCAACCTTCCTTTTGTGGTATTGAACCTTGTGGTAAAATTTCATAGAGATCCATTCACTTAAACTAAAGTTAGAGTGCGAAAACCAATGTGTCTTCGGACGACGCCGGACAACGCCAGTCGACGACGACGACGACAACGACGCCAACGTCATACCAATATACGACCTCAAAAATTTTTTTGCGGTCGTATAAAAATCAAATTTTCTTAGTCCAAGGAAGGTCATCATCAAGGCAAAAGTAGGCCAATTACAACGATATTTACAGTTTATCTTTAAAGTCATAAGAAACTTCAAATTAAAAAGAAAGTATGCAGTGACCTTATAAACCGTGAGACCTCTCGTTAGAACTTCAGCAACCCCACAGTGCAAGTGTGAGGGAAAAACGTGAAAAAGGTAAACACATGTGGAGTGAAGATAGTGTTAATAGATTCAGTGAAAATAAAAATAAAACACCACATCATTTAACAACTGTTATATGACAAAGTTTATGTAACAAATGGAAAGACATGGAAATTATATTGAAAAAAAAACAAAACAAATAAACGTTGCTATATCACCTCACTTATATTTTAACATGCTCCATGATTCTGTGTAGATCATTTATCAAGGCCACAATTGTTTAACTTCTGCATCTAAGCCTGAAAGTTAATTAGCAGCAAAAGTTTTTGATGACAATGAAAAAATGAAATATTTTTTGTCGTTTATATGTTATGGTTGCATAATAAATGTTAAAAAAAAATATTCACAAAGGACCTCATTCAGTATATATATGCATGAATTGGTTCAATAATTTTTTAACATTAAAATTACAAGAAACTTGTTTTATATGACTTTACATGTACTTCATAATTATTTATTACACAAACTGAAAATTAGACAAAATTATTTCTATAAGGAAAGCAATAAAAAACTTCCAGTTTGTTTAAGACTCTTGTTTAAATTTTTACTGTTGTGTGCCTTTTTTAGTAACAATGGGCATGTTGGTTCATCAGCTGGAAAGTCAGAAACAAATATGCTAAGTACATGTATGACTATGACAAACTTTTGTTTTATTAGCTTAATGGTTCAGCATGTTCAGGGGAAAAGAGTTTTACAAATTCTTACAAATGGACAATAATGAAATAAACTGTTATCACAGAGATATGTCTCGCCTTTTTGTAATTTTGATAATGCAAATGTTGAAATTAAAATAGCAATACTTTAACATGTAAGTTATGCAAATATTCAAAGTCGATGAACCATGACTGAAGGTATATATATATATATATATATATATATATGGCTAAACAATCTCCATGGACTGTATACCAAATACCATTGACTTATTAAAAGTCGTTCCCTTTAAACAAACCTAAACACAAACATTAACTTGTAAACTGTGCAAAAGTTTCAAAGTCAATGAACCATGATGGGGGGATGCATATGGGGCTATATAATCTCCATGGTTCAATACTTGCAAATGCCAATAAATTTGCATACCAAATATCATTGACTTAACATTAGCAGTTCATCTTAAACTGATCTAATCACAAACTAATACATGTAAACTAAGCAACATTTTCAAAGTCAATAGACCATGACTAAGGGGGCAGGGCCAAATATTCTCCATGGAAATGAGAATTAGCCTCAGATGTGCTAATGCTTATACAACTGAATACCAATTAACATTGGCTTACCGCTAATGGTTCCCCTTGAACTGACCTAATCACAAACTAATACATGTAAACTAAGCAAAATTTTCAAAGTCAATAGACCATGACTAAGGGGGCGGAGCCAAATAATCTCCATGGAAATGAGATATGCCAATGCTTATACAACTGCATACCACATGTATATCATTGACCTACCACAAATTAAATGTTCCCCATAAACTGACCTAATCACAAACTAATACATGTAAACTAAGCAAAAGTTTCAGTCAATAGACCATGACTGAGGGGGCAGGGCCAAAAAATCTCCATGGAAATGAGATGCACCATGCAATGCTAATACAACTGCATACCAAATATCATTGCCCTACCACTTGTGGTTCACCATAAACTAGACCTAATCACAAACTAATACATTGTTGACACCGCCGCCAACGCCGGAAACAGCATACCTATGTCTTGCTTTTTGACTCCGTCAATCATATATACACAGGATGAAATTTTGCTGTAGCACAAAGAGTAGACAATGTTACCAGGCCAAACAAGAGTATATAACTGGTTATGATTCCTCCTTAGAAATAATACGGTACAGTGGGCAGATATGTTTTTTCCATGTTTTCTTTTTTTTTTAACTTAAGTACTGTATGTATATACATTTTTTTGTACGTGGGGATCTGCAATTTTGTAAAAATTCTCTACCAAAGTGGAAATAAACTGAAGCATAAAAAATAGGGTCAGCATAAAACCATAAACACAAT